AAAAAAAAAAATTCGAGTTATCGAGGTTTTCGAGTTATCGAATTATCGAAAAAAGTTTTTAATTTCTTGCCTATTAGAATATTATACAGAGCAATTCAATAAACATTYCCGATTTTTTCACGCATTTTAATTTGGTCATATGAAAAATACTTATACATTTATAAATTAATAAGTAAATAAATGAATATCAGTTAAAATATCTATCGAAGTGGGAGAGTTTCATTTGAAAAAACAAAAGTTAGGTTARCACTTCTTAAATAGGCAGAACAAAAAATTCTTAAGAATTTGAAAATATATCTTTTAAAAATTCCAAAAATCAGATTTTGAATAGCTGTATTATCAAAGAAAAAACTAGAGGCAAGCTTGATTGGTGAGTCATTCTGTATAAATCGAAAGCCTATTTTTACAGTACAAATATTTTATTTTAATTGATTTAATGATTACCTACCTAGGTGTATAGAATGTATACCTACAAAAGAATAAATATCATTCAGTATTTATACCACAATTCATATAGGAAAGAGAAATAAGTTTGAATAAACTACATACGTACGATAAATAAAGTTTTATGCACCCAGAATAATTATTTTTTTTAAATTGTTATGTGCACGTTTGAATAATAATTAAAATGGAAATGCCACAACAAGTACGGTATGAATACAATTCAAATTTCAAAGTGCATGTGAATACAAATGTTGTAGTTTTGATTTATTACTAAAATAATTTATATTTTATGTACACATATTTCTCGTTAGCCATTTAACTTGTTCATTTAAAATATATCGTCGAAAATTACATTACTTAATATGATAATATTATTATTATAACGTTATAATGTAATATATTTTAATATGGGTGACGACATATACAATATACTTTTTAATGATTCTATATTTTATACCAYATAGTTTTATAAAATGTGTTAAGTTAAGGCAATAGAAATATTTTATACCAAACAATTTTAAAATTGTTAAAAATATATTATTATTTAGTGTTTCTTAAGATTATTAATATGAAATAATTTGAATTCATTACATTTTCAATAAGTATATAATATTATTGAAGAAATATTAAGTTGAAATAAATTCAAATTATTATAATATTTATTTATAAAATATACAAATTATTGTATAATATGAATTATAATGTATTATATACATACGTTTTTTTATCGATAAACATGTATTATGTTAAATGCATTAATTATAAATTTGATACCAAAAATGTTAATTTTAAAGTTATTATTTTTTTTTTTTTGATAAGTAAAAATAATTGAAATAAATTAATGATTGAACAAATTAAAAAAAATAAATAAGTTCAATGGCTTTATTACCATATTAGTCGTCATATTATTTTGTTTAAAAATTAATTGATTCGAGTATGAAGTATAGAATAAGTTGGAAATTAATATTTAAACGTAAAGATTGGAGTCAACCCTTTCCCACTACTCAAAATTATATCACATATTTATAACTRAATAATTTTTATTTATATTGTATTTATATGTATGTAGAAAAATAAAAGGTGGAAATTAAACTAACGAATTGTTGTTTTATAATAATAGGTATACATTTAAGATTTTTATAAATCATGTGAACTTAATTGAAAATCGCTTAAAATAATTTTTAAACATACATTATTCTATAACAATTTATAATATATTGTGTATAATTTGTATAAGGTAATTTATGTAAGGGACTTGAACTCGAGATCTTAAAAATAATTGCTATAGGGATGCCGATYACGTGAGGTATTCTATTGAAACTATAACAATGGCGGTGGAATAAAAACGCGAAAATAATGTCAAGGATATTTTCGCATCAGAAAATAATAGAAATGTGTAGTACCTATATTAAATAGAATAAATGATAAATTGGTTTGAAAATGTATACTACCATCAAATACTAAATGTTCGGATCAGCGATGTAGGTAGGTACGAACAGTTCGTTTATTTGTGGCGAGAGCGCCGASAGCGAGATCTGTGTAATGAAATGTAACAAGTCGTAAAAGAAATCATGATATGTGTTTTTGCAAGGTTGGATACACTTTTTTTCTGATTGTTACGATCTGTATTTGCAATAAATTTGGAGATCAAAAACGATAAATACATTTCGAGTACCTATGAGTGATGAGTCTTTAGGGAAAATTGGATTTTAGTCTACCTATATAAATAAGACTTTTGAAAGTCTTGGTAAAACCGTAGAGATCAAATTATCCTTCTAGCAGTATACTTTGTTGATATTTTGAGTATACCCACTTAAAAAAAAATATGGAACAACAGTATATATTTTTGAATATCTTCATTGTAATTTATTATTTACAATTTGGTAACTAGGAAACTTTTTCTTAAGAGACCCTCCACATATTGAATGCATTTAGATTAAGTAAAATATCTGAACATTTTTCATTTAGTCAAAATTCATGCCAAGAATAATTCCATCTCAACGACACTGATGCCGATGRGACTTTATTATAATAAGTACTCTTGAACGCAATTTGTAGAGAGGGGTTTCAAGTCATCTTAACAAGTACTCAATGTTCAACTATTTATTTCAGTTAAATATCCGAATTCRGCTATTTATAAGTCACACTTTATTTGTATAGAAAAAAAAAACGTCTTTTAGTCCTGTCCTGTACATTTATTTACTAATTTGTTATTATCCAGTAATATATTATGTTATGGTAGTATTATGTATAAGTACTATTCTTGTTTAAAATCATTTTATAAAATTTTWAAATAATGCTTTTAAATGTATTGATATTTTTAGTGAAACAAAATGCGACTCACCTCTCGGCGCTGAGCGCGGTCAGCGTGAAAACGGACACGCCGATGGACACATCCTTAGTGGCCTCACTGAGCTTGCATATGAGCTCACCATATGGCCACGACTCGACCGTGTACACAGTGGACGTGAATGGTACGCACGTGATGATGACCAGCAGGTCGCCCAATGCCAGGCTCAGTATGTACGTGTTGGGCACACTGCGCATGCTCCGGTGCCTGATGAACACCAACACCAGCGTGCCATTTCCAAGTACGCCCACTACGAATATCATGGCGAACACCACTGGAACGATGTACGTTTCCGGTCGGTTCGAGTACGGTTCGTAGATATTGTCATCCAACGTGTCGTTCGTGGCCATCGTCGTCATGACCGATTTAAATGTGGTCGCTGCCACCGTGGGTTCTATATTGCTGTAAAACAAACGAATAAAAAACTGTTTAAACGTTTCAAGTAGAAAAAACGGATACCAATAATAGCGCTGACCCGGCAAACGTTGCAGTAATTATTTGTATAGAATTTTTATTTTTTATTTTTTTTTTTATCGAGCACTAACCAAAACAAAACGCCAATGGGAGTACCAACTAGACCTGAAAATATTATGCGATCATGGTATCGATAGGTTTTGTAGTTTCCAGAATTACTGAAAACTAACAGACGCACAATCGTGAATTGTGTTTATCGGTGGAAGACATAAGCACCAAAATAAGATTTAAAAAATAATAATAATAATAAATCGTATCGTATAAAGGAACGTTATGCTTTCAGGCGCCCATATCTTCACTATGTGGAGGATATGAATTTTTAAGACTTCATCAGTTTCAGAAGTCAACTGCGAACGAATTGTTAGTACTTACCTAAGCTGAAACTAATAAAAACTAGATTAAGATAAAATTCAAGTCAGGAAAATTTGAAGTCTCTGCTAATATATATGTAAAAAAGAGCTGTTGGATGAAATAGATATGTCTGAGTATATAAAAATGTCATCGATCATAATATGCAACAAATGTTGAAATGATGAATTAAGATGTATAATATATATATATATATATTTTGATATTTTGATACTTCACTCATTCATCAGTAATAATATTATTTATTTATTTATTATTATATGTATAACGGGCATAAAGCCCAAATGTGCAATTACATTTTACATACATTTAAATAATCTAATATATGGCAAGAGAAAGTAATTAAAAATATCATAATATTATGTCACCTATTATAAAATATTAATATGGTACTAAGTGATTTACTTTTTTGTGGCGATAATTTGATGAATTATGTAAATACAATTGTATTAGTTGATGTCAATAAGACTGTTTTTTTTAAATATATATATATAAATGCACGTAATGGCTGTAAATTGGATATAATCAAGCGCAGCGAGTGGCAAATTGTTTGAAAATACTATTTTCTAATTGACATTAGACTAATGTACCTATTTACTATATAATTGTAATTTCTCGAAAGTTGAATAAAGTGACCCACGACCAACTTTCGGGGTATCGTAGCGTAGAATAATAGTAATAATAATAATCAKTTTGTGTACAAAATAATAACTACTGATGTACAATCGCTGTATTATAGGTATTAGCCCTGTTTCGTCTGCATGTCACGGTAAAGTGCATGTTCATGAATGTGTTTTCCATTGAAATTCCTAGAACGATACCTCTTGTGTTATGGTGGATAATGGATGGAGCATTACGTTAAGTATATATATTATTCGTCTACTTTTTTTTTTTTTTTTATCAAAATATTAAGACATGGATGCCTATTAAATAAATTATTATAGAAATTTGCAGTTTTATGCTGTGGATCATTTATTTTGGTTACGAATTTCACATCAGTCACATTTGCGACTGTTTATGATTACTATTATGCTATATTTTATGTGTAACATTCATTGTGTAACTATAAATAAAGCCCTGTGAAGTTGGCATTGTGTAAAAAAATTCTTACACAAATATTGTGATTATTGATTAGTTAGACTTGATTGTCACTTGGCACATCATTTCACATATATTTCATTTTGAACTTTTCGATGCTAAAGCTCAAAGCTAGCGTTAAAATGTACATACGACCCTACAATAGTCAATAGCTATGCAAACAATGTAGTATAGGTACTTAAATATTATTAGAATTTGGATTTTATGCAATATTCGCAACCATTGAAATTTTAATGCGTTATACGTGCATTTTGAGGTACCTAACAACTACGTTTTATGATTCCGGCAAAATATTTTAAGGTTTTACAGTTCGTAGGAAATGTATTTTACAAATACACGCACGTTTTGATTTTCATCGGTTTATGCGAACGCTCCCGATTTTCTATATTGTTCGAAATTATCTCCACTACGTTCCATATACTCATTTCTACTTTCGCAGAAGTTGAGCAAATTTTTTTCAAATATTTAACTAAATTATTTTTTAATCTACATCATTATTATATTTTCCTCTTTCTAGTGTTCAAAGAAATATTTTATGTTTGCATGCATAGTATATAAATATAAATATGTATATAGCAAATAAGTTAAAAAATAAATATATTAATAATAATTAATAACAAGAACAACACTGACTCAATTATGTTTTATACATAAAGCAATGTGATTAAAATCAAGGTTATAAGTTATTTCTCGACGGAAACCGCGCATATACATACGACTAACATACGACTAAAATGTAATACAGTAAAACCTGTGTAATATAGAAACAGTAGGGACCGGATATTTTTTCCATTTTAGAAAGGTTTCCATTTAATACAGGTTGTAAAAAAAAAAAAAAATTCCCGACTGATCTTTATGAAATATAATTTATAATTTATTATTAATTCATTTATTTCATATATTTTACATATTATTTATTATTGCATTTTACTCCAAATTCATCCAATGTTTATTACTGTTAATCTTTTTAACTTGACTTAATTAGGTTAATTTTTTCATTTAGAGTTAAAAATTTATTTTTGGACGTCATATTAAATATACGTCTATACACAGACACACAGTCTACGTCAGAACACTACTACGACTCTTATCGATAAAATAAACTTATTGCAACAAAATAATCTGTATAATTTATATAGATTATATTCATTGACTAATAATTTTAAAATAGTACATGTATAATATATTTCCATGGTATACAGATACATGACAAAATATTGTTTTCATTTCCACGTTAAACAGGTTCCATCTTATTCAGGGAACGATGTTTTTAAAAATACATTAGGTTTGCCGGGACCGTAACATTTTTCCATAAAAGCCAGGTTTCCACGTTATTCGGGTTCCATATTACACAGATTTTATTGTACAATTAAACAATACTCTAAACACTAATTACTTCATTTATAATAAAAACCAAAAAATCCGCGCAATCGATTGAGCCGAATACGAGTAAAATTAATTGTAAATAATAATACGTCGTGTGAAATGTGTTATGATGACGCGAACGTGCTCAATGAACACAAACGTATGATGATTATACGTGGGCCACTCAAAATCGGTGGTATACTGGAGCATGATTAAACTWTACATTTCACATTGTGTTACAGTCGATAAACATTACATAACTTAAAATGTAATGGCATTATACTCCGAATCATTGGGTACTGCAGTTGAATTTAAATTCCAACAAGAATTCTGATTCAGTTCTATGTATATGTATTAATATAATTTTTAAATATAATTCCGGACAATAGTTCGTCGAAATCCTCTGGCTGACTCTTTACCTTACCGTAAACCTTACGGTATACCTGTCTAATTTATCATGCTATCCATTGGCATCAATCTGTCATCGTTATAATTTTAAATGAAATTAGGAATTTATGGTAATTGTGATATTTATTAATTATTATCCACAAAATGTGTACGAGTAATTCGTGTTAAACAATTTTTTGTAAATTTAGTAGCCGGATATTTCTTAGATTATTTATATTATTTATAAAATTAAATCAACAACAATTATGTTCATATAAAGGTCATTGTATGCTTTCTCTTGATGTTTCTTTCTATAGTTTTTTTTTTTTTAACGTAAATAACTAAAAGTCCGAACTGAAACGCAAGAATAATCTACTTCACCAACGCCAAACACTTCTGCGGCAAGATAGAGATAATCATTATCTCTATTGTCTCAAGTATAAGACATATGAGAAAATAATCAAAAGTCTATTGTATACCATTATATACTTGTTTTTCGTTAGCATCGAGCTTTATGCAATTTCTGTTAAGACTTAACAAATCCCGCCCAAAATCTTTCAAAGAGTTTTTGTTAACACTGCCAATTTATCAGAAATTATTTTTTAGAATAGTCTTCGTGGGCCATAGGAAATTCTTTTGTAAAACTACGCATACTCGTCATAATAAGTGATTGTAGAATGTGTTAGCCATACATTATTTCAAAGGAAGTTATGGTAGTGTTTCAATATATCATATTATACTTATATAGTAGGTATATGCTGACATGTAATTTTGGACAATTATTTACGTGCCATTATTATAATGCCGCCAACATATTCGGGTAACATAATTCCGGGAGACGAATTTGTAATTGTTACAAATAATTCCACGTATTATGACGTGCTCGTTGTTCGATAATTCGGTATAATATATCATTTACATATTTAGATTTCGTATAACTAACTTAATAGTAGTTAATACTAGTCGTGTAAGTAGCTATTCATAAGCACGACAGGCCTGGTTTTCATGCAAAATACATAATAAAATATTATGCGCAAACATTTTCAAAATACTATGCATAGAATATTTATTTTTATTTTTATTAATTCTTTAAAAAAATAACGGGTCTCACATATTCGTACCTATAACGCATAGAATAAGTAGAAATATTATGCATTTTGCATAGCATATAATATGTTTATAGTGTTTATACATACAAATATAGGTACTTGTAAAAAGGTATAAGTTTTAAAAGATATACAAATAGTTTAGTATTTTTAATCATCTTCACTCATTTATTATGAAAAAAAATAATAGAAAATAGAAAAATTTATAAAAAAAAGCTTAGTTAAATATAGTTTATAAAACAGATCAAAACACGACTTGTGTTTCTCGGTAAGAATTTTAAAATGCTAAGAACCATCACTTAACTCATTAATTTAAGCCCAATGTTTGTTTTGAAAGCTTAGATTCGAGGGCTGATTATACTATGATTCTGTCTGTTTTACCCAAACGACTTTTTAAAGGTTTATTTCAGATTGGAAACTAAACATATAGAATATACACAATTAGGACAAAATTGAAAATATATTAGAGTGAATCTAAAGTGAAAAATTTGGAATAAACTAAAAATCAATCATAGGCAATTTATTTACTTGTTATTATTATTTTAGGAAGTTAATAACGAGATTGCTGAAGTATTTAAATATTGTGGGTAAAGCGTGAATGTA